AGGAATGAGGATCACTGCCCACTGTCGAGGTTCCCTAGACAATGCCATTCCACTGCGAAGAGGGAGAGGGCACAGAAAACTCCTCTCTCCTAAAACCCAAGAGCTATTATATCCCACACAACTATTGGGTGTGCTCACTGTCCCATGGAGTGGCAATTAGACCATACAGAGAGAAAAAGAATGATTTTCCTTCACAGCTTTAGCTGAGAGCCAGCTGGCTTTATAGCTCAAGCTGCAAACTCTCGTGCACTACGTTCCAAGAGGTCCCAGGTTCAGTTCTGCCTGTCGGCACTACTCTATCACAGATCAAATGGAGCCAGAGATTTAATCTATTGGAGTTATAGGGGAGGAGATGCATTCTGGACACAGGACAGAGTCAGTAACTCCTCAGTTCTCATTCCAGTTGTAACTCCCTCTCTGAACTTGGAAAAGTTAATTTCTACTTTGGTTTTTCCTGTAGAAGTGCTAACTTCCTAAGTTCCGGGGCAGCTGTAGCAAAGATGAGAGAAATGATTAAAAGTGCAAAATGGTGCTGGATTGCTGAACACCACATTTAGCAACTCCTTCAGTGTAGGAATGTTAATATTGGTTAATTGAATAGTCAATTAACCTCATAAATTCTTATCAGTTAGTTGACTACTCTATTGTCCCCAGGCAGCCCCTGGAAGAGGTTTGAGCCAGAACTGAGCTGGGCTGCCTGCCCACCTGGCTCCGAATACACTTTAAATGCAGAGCCACAGCAGGGTAGGTCCAGGAACCAATGCAAGCCCAGGACTGAGCTAGGCTGCTGGCCAGCCTGCTTAAAAAAATGTACTGATGGGGTAGGGGAGAGGGAGAAAATGTGTGTAGTCTATAGCATTAACCTATGAGCTTTTGCTTTTTGGTTAATCAACTATACTATTACATTCCTACTTCAGTGCGATTTCACAGGGGGCTTCTGTTCTTAGTAGTCTGCCAAAACATACTGCTCAAAGGAGATTTTAACAGGAAAGTGGTTCCCACTGCTACCCTGGCTGCTGCAGAGCTAAGAAAGTGGGTTTCATCTGTAGTTTTCAGTCTTTTAAAGCTGTATTTTAACAAGCTTTGTTTTACAAGTTTTGGGATCCATCATTCAGGTAGGAATAAATATCCCCAAGAGTCATAAATAGACACAAGGGGAAACATGGGAGTTAACTTCTGCTACACAACAATTTGAAGTGATGACTTCCAAATGCTGATACTAAGGCAAGCAACTCCTTCTATACAAATCTTAACAGGTAAAGTTAAGATTAGGTCTCAGTTGGAGTATTGTGTCCAGTTCTGGGCATCACATTTCAAGAAAGATGCAGAAAAATTGGAAAAGGTCCAGAGAAGAGCAACAAGAATGATTAAAGGTCTAGAGAACATGACCTATGAAGGAAGGCTGAAAGAATTGGGTTTGTTTAGTTTAGAAAAGAGAAGACTGAGAGGAGACATGACAGCCGTTTTCAGGTATCTAAAAGGGTGTCATAAGGAGGAAGGAGAAAATTTGCTCATCTTGGCCTCTGAGGATAGAACAAGAAGCAATGGGTTTAAACTGCAGCAAGGGAGGTTTAGGTTGGACATTAGGAAAAAGTTCCTAACTGTCAGGGTGGTTAAACACTGGAATAAACTACCTAGGGAGGTTGTTCAATCTCCATCTCTTGAGATATTTAAGAGTAGGTTAGATAAATGTCTATCAGGGATGGTCTAGACAGTGCTGGGTCCTGCCACGGGGGCAGGGGACTGGACTTGATGACCTGTCGAGGTCCCTTCCAGTCCTAGTATTCTAGATTATGGGTGGCCTTCATGAGGCTCTTGTTTAAGGCAGACTAATGGAATCTAGTTTCTCTTTAAAAATCTACAAATGCATATTTTAGAACACCTGGGGAGAACTCTGGGAAAAGACACTAGTTTCCCACACAGGCCCCCTTCCTCTATTCCACTATTCCAGTCAGATGTGGGTTTTGACATATACATGTTTCTTTACAGGTTGCAAATTAAATCTGTAAACTCAAAAGAATATGCATGCATAGCCAAATAACTGTAGCCATTTCTCCTCCAGAATTAGAAGACATATACTATATCTATTGTAAATTGGAAGGAGAGGAGAGAAGTCATGCTATGGTGAAGGGACTATAAGATCACTTATTTAGATAGAAATAGGATTTTCAGTGTAAACTGCTCCACACATTTAAAAACTTTACTTTGATTTTCTCAAACAATGTAGTTGCTTTTCCTGAAACACAGCTTCTACTTTGTGCCAGACATTGGGTGTGACTGAAGAATGTAGTATGAAGGCTTTCAGATAAGGATAGTTTCCTCTAAACACTATGATAATATTGCCCTGGTTTCCATAAACACTGCCAACTAATACCAGGCAGTGGAAGATAAATCATAATTACTGCAGCAGGAGTATCTCATTTTGAATTGCAAGAAATATTAAAATCCCCAGGAAACACCAGAAAAGCAAGCATGTGATCTTATTTCCCAAACAGTGTTCTAACAAGGTCAGATCTAGATGGCCTTATTCCGTCAGCAGTTTTACCTTCAACTTTCCCTTCCTTGTGGAAGAGAGAATCTGTCCGCACATAGGAAAGCAGATTTTGTATTTTAGGGGGTATCTACCTTGAGCATTCTGGGAGAAGATCTGAGTCTGTGCATTAGGCAGCATTTGTTTAGTAGTGAGCAGACAGTGCAAGAACGTACGCCCCAAGTTTTAATCACATTTCTAACACACTTGCCATGTGACCTTGCATAAATAATGTACCTACATTACAAAGGAGAAAACACAGAGAAGTTAAAGGGCTCTCCCATCTCATATATATAGTGGAAGGATTAATGCTGATCTAACACTATAAATGGAAAGCATTCTTTTGATTCAGTGCGAATGTAGAAACTCTGAAACCACTGCAAAAGATGGTGCCTTTTGTTCAGTAGTCACATTCTAATGCTATCATTAAACGGGAAGTAAATGATGACTGAGTATCTGACAGGCTTCCCTCTACGGCAGCACTGAACCAATTTTCCACTGTATTATGGGGCTGTGCCTCTGGATGTATTTTGTTAAATGAAATGTAACAGAACAGCCTTATGGTAAGAAATGATCCCATGAGACATTTTACAAGACTAATCATGACTGATTGGGATAATTATATTCTTGTTTACAATTCCCCCTCTGTTTTCCATGAGAAAGGGACTCTCTGCTTCCCACCTGAAACTGTTAAGCAGTGTTGTTGTACATTGTTAAACAGCTGCAATATCTGACTGCAGAAATGGTGCATTTTAATGGTGAGGGGACTGATTCTGTTGAGTTTAGAATTCTGTATAGGACTTGAATATTTGCAAAAAGACCCTACAAAAAAGTGAAAAACTCAGATGTTTCTCCAATTGTTTAGAGATGGACTCTATATGGTAAAATTTAAATATTAAATTAAGCAGTATTTCTCACAATTTGACTGCAAATCCAATTCCTGTTCTCACAAGAAAACTGTCAGGAGGGCCTTAAATCCATTAAAAAAATATAACTTATTTCTCACCAGCACTAAATTCTTCCTAGATATACTATTGTACTGATGTGCTATAGTTGCTCCAGTTGAGAAGTAATATATAATCCATTCTCAAGAAAAGTTCAAACATTCAACATACTAATAAGCTAACCAACAAAAAAGAGTTTTCAACCTCTACAATCAGTTTGCTAATGAACTATTGTTAAAGACAATGTGTGTATATAGCTTCAAACATGGGAGTGGTCAAATAACGGGCAAAATGCCAAAACACAAATAGAAAGCTCTGCTTGGAATTAAATTCAATGATACTCCCACACTGTGGGAATGCTGATATGAAACTGGGCTAAAAATTTTCAACGGCCATGAGATGATCAAACTTCTTTTACGTTTCAACACAATTAGTATCTCTAAAAAGATAAAGTTTTCTCCCATGACTTAATCAGCCTATGTCCTTGTGATAGTGAAAGAAGATATTTTTGAGCATTGCTTTTTAAAAAGACCATAATTCAGAAGTCTGAATGATCCTTTTGTAGATGGACTTGACTAAAGACTACCACTTGCTGGCTGCTTTTGCAGATTATTTCTATTTTTTTAGCTTGACTCATCTATGCCTTAAGTAAACTACAAATATTGCAATTATTCATATACAAGAAATTCATAATTAGGTGTCAGTGACCTCAGTTCAGGTGGTTTCTGTGTATTTCATAACAAGTTTGTTTTCTAGAATTCAAAATATAACCTCATACAAAAAATGAAGTCACAGACCCTTTCATCCAAGGATGAAAGTGCTTAATAGACTAAGGCTCACAACCCTGAAAGTAAGTTTTATCCCTATATTACAGAGAAAGAAACAAACAAGTCAATTAATTTTTCAGCCTCCAGATCAAACAGCAGGTCCTGACTCCTAAGTCCTTGCTCTAACCATTTCACCAAGTCCTTCGAACACAGTACTTTTCATCACTGTTTCAGAAGCAAAAGCTTATTCAATTGCGTCTGACCCCGGCCCTTGGATTTTACCCTCATCTAACCAACAAGAGGAGAGACATGGCTTCAGAGAAATAGGATTTAAAGCTTTCCTGCTTTATTTCCCCCCCACCCTCATTTGTATAGTTTGCTAGTCTTAGAAACCCCACTACAATTGTCTGTTTTCTAATATCAATCTTGACTGAATGATTATTTTTCCCCTGCCATGAATCTCTAAGTGATGTGATAGGTGTTTCTTTACCTTCGCTGTCGGTGAGAACCTCCATGCGGCCGCTGAACATGGCTTTAAGCATGGTGTCCTGCTTGGTCAGGGTCTGCATTGTGGTATAGTAGAGGGCACCGCCAACATTCAGCTTGACATACTTTGAGCTCGGACTGGTCCCTTTGAAGGAGGTGGTGCGAGTCGCAGCTGCTGGCACTGCTGAGCTCACAACGCTTTCTCCTGACATCTCTTCCTGAAAAGAAGAGGGGCTGCCAATTAGAACTGTTTTGGTACTGTGCACCACACAATTTATTGCTCCCTTGTAATATTTTATGTAGGTAATATTAATACACTGGTGTTCTATATCCTCAACAGGGAAAATCTCAGTGCCTCACAATATCCTGCCAGGTAGCCATGGCTTACTTCCATTTCACAGCTAAAGGAAACTAGGTTAAACATTTTACCCAAATTCACAACACGAGAGATGCAGAACTGGAAATAAAGCCAGAAATCCCACTGAATAACTGTTTCTCCTTTGCAAGTCTCTGTAGTATTTGGAAAACTCTAAGGCAGGGGGTCTCAAACTCCTGGCTCACAGGCCAGTCCCAGGCCTCTCCTAATGGCACTCCCTAAACACATGGCTTTAGGGTCACTGAGGGACCAGGTGTCTCTTGACAACAGTGGTCATGCTCCCTGCAGCAGTAAGAGCCACGGGGGAAGCAGAGCACACTGGGAAGGCGCATTCACTCCACTTCCCTCACAGATCCTACTGCCACATGGAGTACAAGAGTGCAATTGCTGTTGCTGTGTGGTGCCCTAATGGCACTCCCTAAACACATGGCTTTAGGGTCACTGAGGGACCAGGTGTCTCTTGACAACAGTGGTCATGCTCCCTGCAGCAGTAAGAGCCACGGGGGAAGCAGAGCACACTGGGAAGGCGCATTCACTCCACTTCCCTCACAGATCCTACTGCCACATGGAGTACAAGAGTGCAATTGCTGTTGCTGTGTGGTGCCGAGTCCCCTCAATGATCCCCAAAGCCATGCACTTGGGAGACAAAGTGCCACGGAAGGGAAAGGGCAGGAAGGAGCAGGGCTTGGGGGCTGGGTAATGAATATACTCCTCCATCCAGAAGTCCTGGGCCAGATTGTGCAATTGCCAGGAATTTGAGACCCCTGCTCTAGGGAATGGTTTCAGGACTTTTTACTAGAGAATTGCCCTCTAGTAGTTTAATGCCACACTGACCAGTTTCCTGCAGCTATAGCAAACAAGAACAAAGTTAAAGCTAAACTGAAATCCAGAGTATTGCCTATTAATATTGACCGCTCAATACTTACTTTTTTAATGGTTTTAAACGGTGGGTTACTTCCCCTTTTTACAGTAACGTAACTATGTTTACAAGCTTCAGGGGGTAACAGAGTTAGTCTGTACAAGATAAATTTAAAAAACAACAAAAGGTCTGGTAGTCCATAAAGTGCTAATAGAACATGTAGACGGTATCATGAGCTTTCGTGGGCACAAACCACATCTTCAGATGACCGGAGAAGTGGGTTGTGCCCACGAAAGCTCATGATACCATCTACATGTTTTGTTAGTCTATAAAGTGCTACCATACCTTTTATGTTCGCAGTGGCTTTGTATCCAAAGGAAGCATTTCAAGCCAACATTTTTTCCCATATTCTCTCACATTCTCTCAATTCACAGCACTGCAGTTAAAATCTTGAGCCTGGAAGATTCTGGACTTTCATGGTATTTCAGTATAAACATTTTAGCTGATCTGAATTCACTATACATGGGTTCCCCTGTTTAACTTTCCACGTTGGGTGTTATTTCAGTCTCAGCTCCATTTTGTTATCTTTTAGTATTTTACTTAAAGTCTCACAGAAACTCTGCACACAATCTCCTGAGATTTAGACAAGCCAACTAAAGCATGTAAATAAACTAACCCAGCACAGAATTCTATGAACTCTGAGCAGCATTTTACAATCATAAGCTATCTTCAGTGGCTCAACTAAATAGAACGATGAAAAAGGACATTCATTTCTCAACCTCAAAACTTGTAAGATTTAAATTCCTCTGGGGAAGTGACTTAGTTCTACTGTAATCTGGCATTTGAGTACATTCACCCAGTTAAGACTGGATGATCCATGAAACTATTACAAATCTCACTGGCTGTGAATGTCTGCAGATTTCAGTGAAAAAGTGTTCTTTAATTAGTGAATTTAGTGCTCCTGAAATTGAGGGAGTGTGTGCGCATTTGGGAATGTTGGCTTCTCACCACCATATACTCGCAGCGCTTTCAATTCATTTACAACTGTGAATAATCTCCTACTATTTTTGTCTTGAGATGCCACACACAGTTGCATTGAACCATTTCTTTCCTCATTTGGTGCACCCATGCTATCTCATGGACCCTCCTGAGCAAAGGCAATCTGTGAGACAACTTAAAAACACGAACAGATGAAGACTCCCACCAATTCATTCTCCACTTGTCATCTAATAAGAATCTGCCTGTGAGCTCTAGAGCAGACAGGCTTCCTCCCTAATCAACAGTTGCTACACACAACTGAAAAAAATGTGCACTTGTTGTAGATCAAAAGACTGAAAGGGAGATAAGTTACCCATACAACATTCGTGGCTCTCAGACTCACTCACCACCAGGCCTCGGTCAAAATCTACCCACAAAAGCTCATGATGCCAGCTACATGTTTTGTTGGTCTTTAAGGCGCTGCAGGACCATTCCTTGTTTTTTAAGTTTCCCCACTTTATGGTTAGCCTCAGGCTCCTACAATGCTCCATGACGGGACGACTAAAGCAGGCACCTCAGGCCCGGGGAGGTCCCACATCTGCCTGGACTCCGAC